GTCTGCAGCCCCATCCTCTGGAAGCCTGGCCTAGTTGAGTACAGCCTTCCTTATTGAGCAGATATACTCATTGCTGGGTTGCTCGGGAAACTAACAGAGCCTTGGTGCTGCTGCCTTCTTGGGGCTCCGGCCTGGAAGAAATTTGGTCTCCACTGGTTGGTGACCATCTCAGGAAATGGACCTCTACCCAGCCTGCTACCCAGGGGTGTTTCTCATTCCTTCCCATTGCTGGGCGCCCCTTCTTCAAGGACAAGAGTCTACTCAGTCTTCCATCCCCCTGACTGTCACATTTTCTAGCCAGCCTCCCTCTACCTGGGTCATCCAGAGCCTCACTCTGTCCCCCAAGCTCACTGGAGCCTCCAGGGCCTCTACCCAGAGCTTCCCCAAGCTCCTATACAGTAGGCTCAAAGCTTTCCCTTGACAGTGGCCTGGTTTCTGTTCACAGATTGTCCCTGGGATAAATGGGTGTTTGGGTGACAGCTATTGATGTCTCCTTTTGAGGGACTGAACTACTTGGTCCATACCTGGAACCCCTCAATTTGCTTCTAAGAACTTTAATCACTCCACGCTGGACAGAAATACAGGACAGAAGCTTCGGCTTCTTGACTGTGACTGGAAACGTGGGGCAATGCGGAACTATATTCTCTATGCCAAGTCCTGGGGAAACATCAGAGAGGATGAAGATTCAGTACAGAATCTAACACAAGGTTAAGGAAGCTCCCCTACAGCAGGGGCTGTCTCTGACATGAACTCTATTGCCTGCTCTTTGATTACTTCTCCCTGGCAGGGCTGACTTACCAGGCCACAGAGGATGCAGGCCGCCCTAATGAGACTTGACAGGCTAGAGTCAGATGGTAGGGGAGAAGGGCTCCCCCTTTCTGTGGACTAGGGAATGGGGATGGGGGAAGAGAGGAGGAGTGTGGGACCAGGAGGAGACAAGGGAGGGGGCTGCAATTGGGAGATAAAGTGAATAAATTATGAAAAATAAGTGCATTCTAAAGCTCCCCTGGCATGTGGCTTGGTGGCAGAGCACTTGCCCAGCTTTGTGGGACAAGCTGAGCTCAACCCCCAACACTGACATCAAATGCAAGAAAATAGAATGCTTTTTTGCATCTCTTAATTTTTTGTTTCTCTTTGGTTTTTCTAGACAGGGTTTTTCTGTGTAGCCCTGGCTGTCCTGGAACTTGCTCTGTACACCAGGCTGGGCTCAAATTCACAGATACTCGCCTGACTCTTCCTCCCATCCTAGGTGCTGGGATTAAAGGAGCGTGCCATGCTCATGTCTTATTTTTGTTTTTTCTGGGAAGGTTGTTTTTTGAGGTAGGCTTTCTCTGTGCAGCCCTTGCTGTCCCGGAACTCACTCTATAGACCAGCTTGGCCTCAAACTCACACCTATCCACCTGCCTCTGCCTCCCAAGTGCCAGGATTACACCGAAACCTGGCTCTCATGTCTTATGTTTTTACAGGGTCTCACTATAAACTCTTGTCCTGAAACTTCATATGTACTCACAGAGATCCACCTGCCTACCAAGTGCTGGGGTCAAAGGTGTGCACATCATGGCTTGCAAAATAAATAAATCCTTTTTAAGGATTAGTAAAAGTGGCTTTGCTCTGAGCAAGATGCTCTCAGGAAACGGAGGTCTCATCCATGCCCTCTCTAGAATCAAGCTGGTCAGACCTGTTAGTTCTCCTTTCCAATATTACTAATTACTTACCTTCCAAAAATCAGACAAGATGGGTTACATCCAAGGTAGAAAGTCCTTAGTTGTGACCCATACGTTCTGTAAAGTTAGTTCAAGTCATATTTTCTAGGTCACTGGTAGCCTTTCTTGTCTAGATATTATTGGGACTTCTGAGACATGATTCTTGGTAGGCTGAGGTAAAAATGCCTTCCATCAGGCCTAACAACCAACCATTCCCTCACGGTGGCAGGAAAGAACCCGCTCCCTAAAGCTGTGTTCTGACCTCCGCATTCACTGTGCGCACATCCACAGGCACCCAAATAAAAGATAAATTAATTAAATGTAATTTAAATGTTGTCTGGGGATGGTCTAGCCCCTGAGGGCATCAGGCACACACAGTACACATACTCACATGCAGGCAAAACACTGAAGCACATTAAATAGAATACATAAATCTGAAAGACATCTGTCTCTTAGATTTATTTATTGATGTCTTTTAGATTTAGGTATCTTTTAGCTTTCAGGGGGGGAGGCAGAATGAAAGAGGAAGCCCCCCCATGTCTTCCTCTCACCTCTGCATGTGCCAGAATAAGGGGTGTGCACACACAAACTCGCATGCACACAAATTAAATACATAAATAAGCAGTAAGCCCAGGCCTGTGTCATTCTGGTGCACACAGAACAACTGTGATCATGTGGAACTGATGGGAGGAACAGATGTCGGACGGTTTAAGAAAAAATGGTTGTCCCATAGAGTCCCCTCCCCAGCAGGTCCTGGAGCTGAGCCTAATCCTCCATAAGTCCCCTGCCTTTCTGCTGAGGCTGGACTGTTGTCCTAAGAGGATTGGAGCATTTACTAAATTAGTCCTGTCCAGGGACACAGCAAACAGACTGCGTGAGGTGGAAGGGGGAACAATAAGAGAGACAGACGGCCATGGGAGTGAGGCCAGAAATGGAAAGGACAGAAGGGAGATGACCAGAAAATACGGGAGACCCAGCACACATCCGTAAAGTCAGCAGGGGGGAAGCACATTACCATGGGTTTGCGGCAGCCAGGTCTATTCAGCACCTTTATAAAAGAAGGTTGGGTGTGGCTCAGTGGTTAAGAAAACTGGCTGCTATTCCAGAGAACCCAGGTTTGATTCCCAGTATCAAGATGGCCACTTGCAATCCTCTGTAATTCAAATCCCAGGGAACCGGATCCTTTTTCTAGTTTTCAAGGGCACTACCTGCACATAGTACACAGACATGCATGCAAGCAGAATACACACACACACTCACACATACACACATTAATATACATGTCTTCTCAAGACATATATATGTTTTTTCAAGACAAGGTTTCTCTGTGTAGTCCTAGCTGTCCTCACTTTGTAGACCAGGCTGGCCTCAAACTCAGAGATCTGCCTGCTTCTGCCTTCAGAGTACTGGTATTAAAGGCATGTGTCACCACTCCCAGCACATATTTTTTTTTAATGGAAGGGACTGTACATCCCAAAAAGGGACCAATAAAAACAAGTTCTACCCTTTCCCGGAAATAGGACATGGAGGGTGTCCTGAATCCCTATCCCTCACAGCTTCCTTGCCTATAACAATGAAGGTCTGTCTGTGCATCGCTGTGATGATGCCTATAGTTAGGAATGGCTTATATTCTTTTTGCTACACTAGGGACTGTACCTAGGGCCTCCAACATTCTAGACAAGCACTGTATCACTGAGCCACACACCAGCCTCTCACTGGGGGATTCTAGGCAGAGACTGTCCCACTGAGCTACACTCCCAGCCCCTCACTAGGGAATTCTAGGCTTTTCACTGACCTACACTGCCAGCCTCTTTTACAACATATCTGTAACTAAGTTTCCTAGGCAGGTCTTAAACTTGAGATCCTCCTTCTCAGCTCCCAGACTCTGGAGTTCCAGGCTTTATCTACCTGCCCTGGTCCTGTGTTCCTTCTTAGTTGAGTTTCAGAAGATATGGAGAAAAGCATTGTCATAACAGAAAACATCCAGGAGCACACTATGGGCAAAAAGGGCAAAGGGAATCTTAATTTCTTTCCACCTAACCAAGTTTGCCCCACTTTAAAAAAAAAAAAAATCACACAGAAACAAAAAATGAAAAAAAAAATCACCCTTATTTAAGTGGGATTCCAACATTTTTAATCGGTTTCACTCTGGGTAGCCAGGGCAGGGGCCTGAGAAGCTAGTGGGTGGGAAAGGATAGAGCAGAGACGCTAACATCAGAAAACGGGAACTCCTGGCTTTGCCACTCTACGGTCGTTTGCCTTGTCGGCCTTGTGACTTAGAAAGTAGGATTTGTAGAGGGAAGGGAGTTGGTTGAGACAGTGCTTTATGTAGCCCAGGCTGACCTCACAATTGCATTGTAGCCTAGGATGACCTTGAACTCACAATCCTTCTGCCTCCACCTCCCTCGTGTTGACAAGCATGTGTCAAACTGGCTTATGAAACAGAATATTGGAATGCTCTCTGGATGTCTAACCAGACCTCTAACCAGCTGGGCCCATGTGTAGGGCTTTCAGCCTCTTGATGAGAATCAACTTGTGCCTCAACCTGACCCTGGGAACCTATGACGGGGGCACCTCGGGCTCTAGAACATTCTGTTCATCTTTCAAGTCCTCCACAATATTCGCATCAAGCTTCTTTTGCATCTTGCTTTTGTACAAGCCACAGCCTCCCAGTTCAGTGGCTCATGCCTGCATTATACATACAGATACATAAATCACATATACATGTAAATGGAATGAACAGTCCTCTAAAACTACCCATGTAAACCTGACATGTGTTAACTTTAACTGTTTAAGATGTCCAAATAAATTTAGAGGTCTCACTCTGTAGCCCAGGCCGGCCTCAAGTTCCCAGAAATCCCCCTGCCTCAGCTTCTTGCATGCTGGGATTACACACACATTGAGCCGCCACACCTGGCTTAGGGCACCGTGAGTTCTGACCCAAACAGTCTCCATGTCACTTGCAAGACAGATTTCCTTTCTCTCTGGTACAAGTTCTCAGCGCCATACTGAAGTTTGGGGGAAAGCATCAGATATGCACATCACAGTCATGACGTCTGCTGATTGCCGCTGGGAGAGGAGGAGGCTCTTTCACTGCTCCGAGGAGGCTGTAAAGGGGCAAAGCTCCCTAATGGAGCAGGGGTGGGCTACACCTGAGGCTGAATTGTCCACAGCCTTCGGCAGGATTGCTACTTCCTGTTGCTTGCTGAGGGCTTCTCTCCTGAAGTCTAAGCTGGAGGAGGCAGATGGGGTCCAGAGAGGATGGTTCAGCTGGAAGGCGGGAATGAAAAGCCTCTTCTACAAGATCTGAAACTTCCAGGCACTCTGATCTTTGTAGTCCAGAGGGTCCATGGGGTTGTAGGTGAATTTCCAGGTGCCTGTGGGGTCTTTGAATTCCAAGCTGTCCACAGGGCTGTAGGTGCTGTAGCTCTGGCCTGACAAGGAAGTGGGGGACTGGGCCAGGGATGGCCCCACAGAGGGGCCTGAGAGAGGGCTGAGCGCCGGACCCCCTAACTGGGGCACCATGGGAGAAAGGTAGGGATCCAGCCCGCTGAAGTAGGAACTTGGAGACGCGTAAGCTGAAGGGGAAGAACAGAAAGCAGAGGCAGGGGCATAGGTCATGGCATACGGGGCTGAGGTGAGAGAGGGCCCTGAGGGGACGAGGCCCGCTCGCTGGGCCTCAGGCAGAGGAGACTCCGAGGCCGGACTCCAGATGGACACAGTGGCCACCGCCGTGGTAGGTGAGCCTGAGGGGCCAGGGAGAGACGGGCTGTAGGAATCTGAGATGCCCAAAGGATCGGTACAAACATCCGTGGACTGTCGTGGGGATGTGCCCGCCTTCCTCTTCGCAGGACGAGCCTTGGCCTGTGCTCCCGGGGGCTGCTGCTGCTGTTTCTGCTGCTGTCGCTGCTGCCTGCATTTCGCCCTGCGATTCTTGAACCAGACCTAGAGGGAGAGAGGAAAGCTGAGTAAACTGTAAAGAAACCTCAAAATCCCCAGGTGCCAAGACTGATGGTAAGAACCACACACCAGCCTGGCGCTGTGGTGCAGGCCTGTAATCCCAGCACTCTGAGAGGCAGAGGCAGAGGCAGAGGCAGGCAGATCTCTGTGAGTTCGAGGCCAGCCTGGTCTACAAAGCAAGTTCAGGACAGCCAAGGCTACACAGAGAAACCCTGTCTTTAAAAAAAAAAAAAAATTACACATCTCCACTCCGCATCCAATGATAGGGCTGCATTGTCCACGATTTGTGTACCCATCCAATCACACATGTACACATGCATACAGCAACCTACACGTACTGGTCACACAAGTATCATGCATGCAGGCAATCATACTACATGCATATGATCATGCATCATCACCCCACCATCGGCTCCTCACACATGCATGCATACAGCCTTGTGTTAGTCTCACACGTATGTATGTAGTCATACACATCTACACAGATACCTACATATATTCGGCTACCGACCTGATCACATGAATACGTGTGCAATTGTGTATCGTCCTCACATATGTGCATGCGGTCATACATATATCAACATATTATCCGTACATGTCCTGCTTATGAATGCATGTATTACACTCACATATTTTACATACAGTCGTGCACACATTATCGTAACATGCTCCTGCTCATGAACATGTACATGCAATCATACACGTATCACACTCATACATCTACACACAAGTGCATATATCACACATGTATACACGCATCAGCCTTTCATAGTATGTATGTGCATGCAATTTTACATAGAGCATTGCTTGGCACACGGACGCACAGGTCTGTGTTCAAATCTCCACACTGTAGAACACAAACATACACACTACGCACACTTCCCTCGCCATGGACCTTCTCAGTCGCCTAATGCATCAACCACCCTCTACTTAAAGGAGACGCCAGAGGGGTTAGTACTTTACTTTGGCGAGGAATATCAGTGTTTCAGGGAGTAAGCCGTACAGGCAGGTACAGGCTCACTGTGTAGCCCAGACTGGCCCCAAATTCAAGGCAATCCTCCCACCTCAGCCTCCCAAATTCTAGGGCTACGGGTGTGAGCCGCCGTGCTTAGCGCGGTACGGTATTCTAGAACTGGTACTTGGAAGACGCCGTCAAGCAAGGTGAATAGGGAGTTCAGGTTGGGATGTGAAGCACTGTGATTCCCGAGGGTCTCCTTGGTTTATGAGGTGACTTGATTGATTGACTGGCGCCTCAGTAACCATGGTGACAGAGCAAATCCTCTGAAGCTAGGCTTCATAGCACAGACCTGCTGTAATCCCGCTCTCAGGAGTATGAAACACGAAGATCTGCCTGGGCTGCAAAGTGAGTTCAAGGGCAGCCTGGGTAACTTAATGAGACTCTGCCTCGCAAGGACAGGGCTCATGTGGACGGCCCTGCCCTCACGTGCAGACGGGCAGTATAAATATGACCCAGTGAGTTTTAAAAGAGGAGGAGAGCAGAATAGATATGAATGAAGTTGAGAGGAAAATTGAGGGGGGAGGTCCTGGAGGAGTTGGGAAAAGAGGGTAAATATAATCACATAATTTCCACATTTCTTTTCCTTCCTCCAAACCAAGGAATAATTAAAAAAAAAAAAAAAAAGATAACAAAATGGTCTAGAGAGATTGCTCAGTGGTTAAGAGCACATATTTCTCTTTCAAAGGTCCAAGGTTCAGTTCCCAGCACCCACATTGAATGGCTCACAACTGCCTGAAAATCCAGCTCCCGGGGATCTAATGCCCTCTTCTGCCCCACCCCCAGGAATGGCATTCATTTGCACAGACACACATGAACACATGACTAAAAATAAATTTCTAGCCAGGTGCAGGGCACACACGTTTAATCTCAGCACTTGGTAGAGGCATGTGGATCACTGGTGAGTTCAAAGCCAGCCTGGTCTACATAGGAAGACCTCTTCTCAAAAATAAAAATTAGAGTGGCACACCCCTTTAATTCCAGCACTCAGGAGGCAGAGACAGGTGGATCTCTATGAGTTCAAGGCCAGCCTGGTCTACAGAGAGAGTTCCAGGACAGCCAGGGCTACACAGAAAATCCCATCTCAAAAAACAAAAATAAATACATACATATAAATAAATAAATAAATAGTTTTAAGAATAAAAAATAAATAAGAGGGCTCATGATGTATCTCAATGGTAGACCACTTGCACATATGTGAGGCCCTAAAATCAAGCCTCATTTCTGAAAATAAAAGGAAACAGAGAATATAAAGGGAAGGAGAACACTTGGAAGGCAGTGTGGTGAGAAACCATCAAATAAGAGGAGAAATTAAATGACATATAAGGGAAGTGGGGAACGTTTAGGCCACTTCGTAAATGTGGCTTTTACCCTGTGGCCTCTCTCTCCTCACAGTAGGAGTCAAGAGAGGTCCAGGGAGCAGATTCTCTTACCTGGACCCTGGACTCAGGCAGGTTGATCTTGAGAGCGACCTCCTCGCGTGCATACACATCCGGGTACTGGGTCTTGGCAAACAGGGCCTCCAGCTCCTCCAGCTGGCTCCTGGTGAACGTGGTCCGCTCCCGCCGCTGCTTCCTAGGGGCACCTAAGTGGGAGCAAATGAAAGAACCTCAGGTTAGCTAGGTCTGCTGACTGGAGGCTGTGAGGCACAGTGGGATACCTACCGAAAAGTCTTTTCTGGACGCCCATCTGCCTGAACAGGGCATTTGTTTATTCCCTGACCTTGTAGCTCTGGCTTGGAGAGTCGGCAGAGGAATTAGAGATGCATTTCAGTCACTTCTCCACTGGAGGGAACTGGTTTTAGCCCTGCAAGGATCTGCAACTCATTTGGTCCTCATTTCTCTCCTCCTTCATCCCCTCCTTCTCTTCCTTCTCCTCCATTTTCCCCCTCTTCCTCCTCTTTTCCCCCTCCCTTTATCCTCGCCTTCTCTTTCATTACAACAGGGTTTCTGTATGTAGCCCAGGCTGGCCCTGAAATCGTGGGCTCAAGAGATCTTTTTACCTCAGCCTCCCAAATATAGGGGCCACTGCACCAGCCTGCCCTCATGAAACATTTTGTGTACAAAGACATATTCAGTTGAATCTTGACATTGTCAGTAACCAAGTGCTTCATCTTACAAAAGTGGTAAGTCTCTATGGTTCATCTTAATGTAAAAGAAAATAAAAGGGGGCCGGCAAGATGGTGCAGCATGTAAAGGCATTTGTGAACAAGCCTGCGGACATGAGTTCAATCCCTGAGACCCCATGGTGGAAGGAAAGTTGTCTTTAGACCTCTGCTGGGGAGCAATGACACAGGTTTGCCTCCTGCTCCTACCCTGAACTCAAAAATAAACAGTCTTTTCTTGGTCCGTGAAAAAACAGAAGCCCAGATCAGGTGGTTCCTGCCTATAATTCCAGCTCTTAGGAGGCAGAAGCAGGCAGAACTCTGTGAATTTGTAGAGAAACCTGATCAACATAGTGAGTTCCAGGCCACTGTTACATAGTGAGAGCCTGTCAAAAAAAGAAGAGAAAGGAGGAGGAGGAGGAGGAGGAGGAGGAGGAGGAGGAGGAGGAGGAGGAGGAGGAGGAGGAGGAGAAAGAAAGAAAGAAGGAAAGACAACTGTTAAATAATAATAGTGTATCATGATGGTGCAGGGCTACAATCCCAGGGCTCTAGAGTTTGAGCCAGGGGGCTGTCGACATGCTCTAGAGCCCCTGCCTAGAATCCCCCAGTGAGGGGCTATGGATGTGGCTCAGTGTTAGAGCCCCTGCTTAGAATCCCCAGTGAGGGGCTGGGGTGTGGCTCAGTGGTAGAGCCCCTTGCTGCTTAGGATCCCCCAGTGAGGGTGGAACATAGCCACATGGTAAACTGACTGCCAAGAATCCACAAGGCCCTGGATTCTAGCCCAACAACTTTTACTTCAAAAAGAGAAAAATAAAAGAAAGACCACGAGAAAAGATGCTACCATAGACACTGGAATGCTCGGTTCTTTTAGGAATAAAGTTTTACAAGCAGATGGAAACCCCTATTATTCTGCTTCCAGAGCACTCCCTTCTCCTCTCACTCCAGAGGGAGTCATGACTATATCCTTTCCTGAATCCCTGGGGAACGTGTGAAAGTCCCTTGGATGACAACCTCCTCTGCAGATTGACATGGAGCTGGCACCTGGCGCCCTCCACCCATGAATGCTTTTCTCCAGAGGACAAGGAAGCTCAGAGGTTCTGAAGAGACAGATTGGGGGTGGGAAGGAGCAGCGCACTTACTTGAGTATGGAACAGCCTGGTGCATCAGGTCCACACTGGGGCCACTCAGAGCCAAGGCGTTGACCGAGTAGTGAGGCCCCGGGTTCATATACGCCATCATGATCCTCAGGGACTGGGGCCCAGATGAGGGCACCTGCAAGAGAAGGGGGGTCCAACAGTCCACTCTGCCCACCTCCTGGGCGCTTGCAACCTGAGACTCACATCCTGCTTCAGTGCTCTTCTTTGGAATCCAACCAACAATGCCCATCAATCTCCTCTCTCTCTCTCTCTCTCTGTCTGACTTTCTGTCTCTCTTTATGTGCCTCTCTGTCTCTGTCTCTCTGTGTCTTTCTTTGTCTCTGTCTCTAGCTTTTGTTTTTAGAAGCCAAGTGTTATAGTGATTCACTTAATCCCAGCACTGTGACCTGAAGCCAGCCTGCTCCACACAGTGAGTTTCAGGGCCTCACTCTATAGCCTGGCTGCTGGCCCGGAACTCAATTTGTAGACCAAAACACAAATCAAAAGATTGTTTGTTTGTTTGTTTGTTTGTTTGTTTTGTACAACAGGGCTCCCTGTTACTCTGGCTGACATTAAATTAGCCAAGCATAATTCCATATTTCTAACCCTGCTGCCTCCACCTCACAAGTGCTGGGGCTGCTGGCATCAGCCATCACTTCTAGGGTATATGTGGAGGGGTGTGTGTGTGTATGTGTGTGTGTGTGTGTGTGTGTGTGTGTGTGTGTGTGTGTGTGTAGAAGTGGGAGGCCAAAATTCAACCTCAGATTTGTTTATAAGGCCACCCATCTCATTTTTTTTTCATTTTATATTTGAGAAGGCCTCCTACAGCTCAGGTTGAACTCAAACTTGCCAGGTAGCTGAGAATGACCTTAAACTCTTTGTCCCCTTGCCACCACCTCCCAAGTGCTGAGCTCACAAGTCGGGTTTACACCGTGCTAGGTACCAATGCTAGGCAAGCCCTCTACCTACTAAGCTACAATCCCTGTGTCCCCCTTGGTTTTGGAGACCAGATCTCACTGGTCTGGAAATCACCGGGTAGGCTAGGATGGCTGGCCAGCAAGCTGCAGAGACCCATGTATCTCTGCTTTGCCAGTGCTGGGATTAAAAACACATCACGCCCATTTTTTTAACCTGGTTTCCCAGGCCCTAATGCTTGAAAAGCAAGCAGGTTACTGAATAAGGTATCTCCTGGATGTACCATTAATGAGATGGAAACTCATTGTGCAGCTCAGACTGGCCTCAAACTCAGCAATGCCCCTGCCTCAGCCTCCCAAATGCTGGGGTTACTGTCAAAGTCACACTTTGGTAATAAGTGCAAGAGTTACATATACTGTATGTCCAAATAATAGATAATAACAGATCATATAAAATATTTGTCGTAATTGTACCAGATGTCATTTACTATGTAAAGTTTACGAACATATTCACTATAGACTGTGTCTATTCAAAGGACGGAAGCCAGTGCTATCAACTGTGTGGTTTTTAAACAAGGCACTAATTTTAAACATATAGCATACAGGGACTGGAGAGGCGGCCCTGCAGTTAAGAACAGTGGCTGCTCTAGCAGAGGACCTGGGTTCCATTCCCAGCCCCACATGGTAACTCACATCCAACCTCCTCTTCCTCTGTGGGCAGTGCATGACACGGTGCACACGTGTGCACACGCGTGCACACAAGCACAATCACACATAAAGATAAATCTTAAAAAAAAAAAAAAAAGCATAGTGTCACAAGGCTTTAACCCCAGCACTCAGAAGGCAGGAGGAAGCGAATATCTGAGCTGGAGGTCAGACGGATCTACAGAGCGAGTTCCGGGACAGCCAGGCCTGTGTAGAGCAACCCACTCCCAAAAAAGGAAGATTGGCATGGTAGCGCAGGCCTTTAATCATGGCAGTCGGAGGCGGATCTCTGTGAGTTCAAGGCCAGGCTGGTCTACAAAGCCAGTTTCAGGACAGGCAGGCCTACACAGAGAAGAAACCCTGTCTCAAAAGAAAAAAGAAAGAAAGAAAAGAGAGGAGAGGGGCTGAGAAGATGGCTCGGCAGTTCAGAGCATTCATTGCTCTTCCAGGGGACCCACGTTCGGTTCTCAGCCCCCACATTGGGGGTAGTTCCTGCTGTCTATGCTCCTGGCCTCCAAAGGCACCTGCACTCATATGCACTCATACCCACACGCACACACACACACACACACACACGCAAGTGCACACACACATACATATATTTTTAATAATGAAAAAATATTCTTTAAAAAAGGGGGGAATGCAGAGGCTGGAAGGTGCCTCAGTGATTAGGAGCATGTTTTGCTCTTCTGGAGAACACAAGCTCAGTTCCCAGCACCCACTCAGAGAACCAGAGCTCGCAACTGCCTGGGTCAGGGAGCCATTGCCTTCATCTGGCCTCGATGGGTACCCCTCACTCCAGTGCAAATAAACAAATAATATTTTAAACAACAGCAACAATAATAAACGCTAGCACACGAGCTGGAAAGGCAGTTCAGTGGGTAAGAACACTTCACACCACACAATCAGGAAGACCTACATTCAGATCCAGCACCTGAGTTAAAAGCCCAGTTTCCTGGGCACAGTGGTGCACTCCTAAATCCCAGCACTGGGGAGGCAGAGGCAGGCACATCTCTGTGAGTCTGAGGCCAGCCTGGTCTACAAAGCAAGGACAGCCACGGCTGTACAGAGAAACCCTGTCTCAAAAGAAAAAAAAAAAAAAAAAATCCCAGCACCCAGCAGACAGAGGTAGGAGAATCTCTGGGAGTCCTGGGCAGTTCATCTACATAGTGAGTTCCTTCCGGGGCAGCCAGAGCTACAGGAAGGAATTCTTTCTCGGAAAACAAACTTGGGGAGGCAGGCTTACCCACATGAACCCCTCTAACCCTAAGGCAGGCACAAGAGGGTCTCCAGGGCTGCTGAATGTCAGTTCAGCTCCTACCTCAGTGAGGTAACAAGTCTCAAAATAATAACGAGGAGAGTAACAGAGTAGGACGGCCCCCAAGGTGTAGGTCCCCAAGGTGTTAGACCTTCTCAAACACGTGAATACACACCGCAAACGTATACACACAAAATAACGGGGCTACTGAGATGGCTTAGTGGGGAGAGGCACCTGCTGCCAAGCCTGACAGGCTCACTTTGTTCCCAGTACCCACATGTTGGAAGGAAAGAAGTGACACCTGCATGTTGTTCTCTGACCTCTGACCTCTGACCCTTAGCCATAACCAGTATGCTAACATACTGCTGGATTCTCCTTCCTCTCTGTCTGGGTGCAGAGGCTTACTCACTGTGCCATCCCCGCATTCAGGGGGCTGAGGCAGGAGGACTGGCTCAGATCTGAGGCCAACCTGGGATTCCTAGTAGACCCTATGCAGGAAGGACAAGGGGGTGTGGGTCAGCAGGTACAGTGCTCGCCTTGCATGCACAAAGCCCTGGGTTCAATCCCCAACACCACATACACCAGGTATGGTGGTACACACCCCAGTCTACCATTTAGAAGGCAGAGGCTGGCAGATCAGCTGCATTCTAGACTGCCATTGTGTTGGAGGCTACCCTGGGACACGAGACCTTGTCTTAAAAGTGACCTGGGTGGGGACTGAAGATGTGGTTAAGCAGATAAGACAGTTTACTGCAAAAGCATAAGAACCGGAGTTCCCATTTGTAGCGACCAGGTGAAAAAAAAAAAAAAACAGGCTTGGCTCCGCGTGCCTGTGATTATAGCATCAGGAGGAGCAGACAGCAGCCCCCAAGAGCTGGCTACACAGCCAGCCTGGGCAGGATGTCCAGTTTCCAGAGCAATGAGAGATGGTGTCTCAAGGTAACAAGGCAGAAGGCAACGGAGGAAAACAAAACGTTGATGCCGTCCTCTAGCCTCCATATGTGCAGGCATATTCAAAAATGTACACATGCATATGCATACGTCATCTGCACACACATATACGTATACATACATATGTACACGCATCCATCAATACACACATCTGCACACGTACATGAGAAGAAACGGTAACAAGATGGTTCATTCCTGTAACCCCAGGGCTCCAGAGATGGAAGTAGAAGGATCAGAAGTCCAAGGTCATCCTCAGCTGTATAGCAAATCCAAGGCCAGCCTGGGCCTTTAAAAAATAGAATAAAATAAACCCAACACAATGGCACACGTCTTTAATCCCATCACTGGGAGACAGAGAACGCAGGTGGGTCTCTGTGAGTTCCAGACCAGCCTGGTCTACAGAGTGAGTTCCGGGACCAAGAAACTTTGTCTAGAAAAACTGAACCAAGCCACCAAGCTGGGCATGGTGGCACATGCCTTTAATCCCAGCACCCAGGGAGGCAGAGGCAGGGGTGTCTGTGAATTCAAAGCCAGCCTGGTCTACAAAGCTAGTTCCAGGACAGCCAAGGCTACACAGAGAAACCCTGTCTCAAAATACCAAAACCAAACCAAACAAGCAAAAGGTAGATGCCAAATACTGCAGGGATAGCTAACCTTTGCTGTTTCTGGCAAACTCTGCACCTTTTGTTTGGTTTACCGTTATGTGTATGGGTGTGTTGTCTGAATGTGTGTCTAAGCACATCCGCCTGCCTGCTGCCAACAGAGGCCAGAGAGGGTGTTGGGTGGCCTGGAACTATAATTACAGTTGTAATTATATACATGTGGGTGCTTGGATTTGAACTCCAGTCCTCCAGAAGAGCAGCCAGTACTCTTAACCACGGAGCCATCCAGCCCCGCCCCAACCTTTTTTTTTTTTTTTTTTAAGACAAAGTCTCTCTATGATATAGAGCCTGTGAAGCCCTGCCTAGCCTAGAACTCACTCTATAGACCAGGCTGGCCTCAAACTGACAGAGATCCGTCTGCCTCTACCTTCCAAGTGCTGGGGTTAAAGGCGTACATCACTGTGCTCTGCTACATGTCTCTGTACTTTCATTTGGATGACCGCAGACCCTAGAGAAACTGCTGCAGCCATTGAGGCAAGAAAAAAAAGTCTCTAATACTGGCCTCTTCCTTCAAAAACAAATGTAAACATGTAAGCATCTGTAAGGAGTTCTGAGAATTGTTAGCCATGCTCTCAACTTCAGATTAAAGAATCTACTTTACTATGAGAAATTGGCATTGAATAGAAATTAACAGCCGCAT